AATTACACAGTTCTCTCAGAATGCTGGGTAGAACCTGCGTGGCACCCATATAATTGAAAGATTGCATTTTAGTGGCTTTCCCAAACAAAAAACTAATCTGATCTAAGGTGAGTCAGTAAATTTACCATTAGAAACAAACTTCTGGCAACCCGTCCTTCTAAAAGTGAAACAATAAAGTCTTCCCCATCTCATACACTACCACATCCGTAGTTCTTTTTCTGTGTTTTTCAACAGTGCAAAGATGGCTCATATTCATTCTGTTCGAGAAATCTCAGATCTGGTGTTTCCTTGGGGGACACCAGAAAGATTCTCTTATTAGCAGACCTTGAGACTCAGGTTTGAACGAGGATGAAGCTGAGTTCTTACTTAGTTATGCTTTTCTAAATTTCAAATAAGAGAGATCTCCTGTGTAAGAGAATGCCCAGGCTATCACTACCTTTCTAATAATGTTTTTCTATTGAAATCTGATCTCTCCCCCATAGAGACATGCCACAGGTTCTGAATTACTGTGTGATGATGCTATTAGTCACTGTAAAACTGCTAATGTGTCCCATTTAAGCAGGCACATTGGATTTCAGACCAGCACAGGGACAGAAAGCAGAGCTGACAGCTGCTCCGTCAATCATTTTTCTAGACTGTGCCCTACAGCTGTTTAGCATTATCACTTATTTACTGTTTAAAATAGACACTTTATAACAATAATTCAAAAGCCAACATGGCCACAAAGGGGAGAAAACTGGCCCTTGAGGTCTGGGAAAGTTTGTGGTCGGATATATGTTTAAGCTTATATTGTTTGAATACATCTCATTACTCACTCTGAATGACCTTTAGTCGGCCACATTAAAGTGATCAAGCTCACCGCAGAGTGACTAAATGGAAATATACAGCCCACTTTGCCTTTAAACCCTTCTCATGAAATTAAAGTGCTCAAATACCTAAGAGAGATTTCCCTGATTCCAGAGCTCAATGGCTATAGCTTAACTGGCTTAGCTTTCAGTCTTGGTTCCTGTATACTAATTAAGTTTGCTGAATGCTAACTTCTTCCATAAGAAGAAGTGTATCAGCCCAGTAAATTTTTCTCTTAAGCCAATTTGTGACAAAATGTAGCAAGTAAATTATGAGAGAGGGAGAGAGCAAGTGCATGAGAGGGAGCGAGAGAGAGAGAGAGAGAGAGAGAGAGAGAGAGAGAGAGAGAGAGAGCGCGCACGCAAAGTGACAGTGATTTAGGCTTTGTTTACATAGAAGCTGGCTTAGGAAATTTGAGCATTTCAGTCATTGCCATGACTGCTATAAATCAACACAGGTGAATAGACAGTGGTGAGATCCATTTTGCTCATTAAAATGGCTGTATTTAGTCCAGCATCTTGTGGATATAAACTGGACCGAGATTTGAATTGCTTTTGAAGGCAGACTAGTTCACCACGTAAACTGAAACTAGGCTATGAAACTTCAAGTAAGATATTCTAAAGTTAACTTCCCATTCACTAACCAAGGTAGGGCAAAGGGAAAATACAATGCAAGAAAAATAGAGAGAGAAGCTTCTCTGAATATCTGCCCCAGAGCTAAAGAGCTTTCCCTGGTTTCTCTCAATGTCAGGACCCGAAACCAAAGTGCACAAAAATTCAGGGAAATTCCACTGGCGTTATCAGGCAGTCAGTTTGATCAAACTATGTAAACCATAAAGATAAAATGGAAATTTTGGGGTTTTATGTATAAAGATCAGCTGTTTGTTAACTGAAAAATTATTTGTGAATGGATTAGACAAGGATTTATGGTATCTATTATCTGTGATTTATGGTTTAAATTGCATTCTGTTTACATTTGAATGAGATAATCTGTTTTTTTCCCCAACGGATTTAGTTGCCATCAGATGTTTTCTTTTTACTCTGTGAAACTTGAACCTAAAACAACTTAAAGATGCTTAAGAAATCTTGAAAGTTGAATATTTTTGAAATTAAATACATGCTTATCTTCAGAAAGAGGAAATTTATTTAGAAAAACCCCAAGTGAAATTAATGTATTTAAATATCCAGGGTTTTAAAACATTCTCACTTGATGACACTCTAATATACAATTAGATAGCTACACAAGTTCTTTTGGGTGGGGGCACTGGAAAGTTGTGTGGGAGGGGTACTAGGGGGTGGGAGAGATTTGTGCCTTGCTTCCCCAAGTCTTGCCAGCCCTCTTTCTTTTATGTTTTCTATTATCTCAGGTGTAGAACTACCAGTGGGTGAGAAAGGGAGTACAGTTGGCACCTCATGCACCGAACATTGACTTAAAGCGTGGGTAAGGGCAATTGGAACTGTTGAGGGTGGGAAAGAATGGGTAGATGAAAGAGCAGTGGCGCCATGTACAAAGGGAAATTTCTGCCCCCAAATCAGCTCTTCTGTGGGCCAACGTTCTCACACATTGGCTGTGCAACCTTAGTGCTCCAGTTAGGACTGAAATGATCATTTTGCATGTTCAGGACTCACAGACTCCATGGTCATGCGATCCATGACCACTTTCCACTCAGGGCCAGGATCCATCATGAGGGCACTTGTCTGTCACTTCATGGAGAGGTTCATGGTAAGGGCTACACAAATTGACCCAGGAATGCTTCTCCATCCTTAAACACCCTGAGAAAGTGGCAGGACCATCCCTATTCACACACAGGAAACTTAAGGATCAGAAAAATGGTGCACTCTAACCTGGCCAAAGGGGATAGAGAGGACTATTTTGGGGGAGCCTGAGTCCCAGCTAGAGAGAGGTGGCCGGGAGGCAGGGGTACATTGTATGACCCAGGCTGTCTGTTGTCCCTACATTGGCTAAGATTTGTGGTCTCTGTGAGTCTCAGTTTCCCCTCTTTGCAAGTGGCTGATGATTCTGGTGGCTTTCCAGGAGCTTGTCATTCCAAGAGGCTCAGAGGAAATAGTTTCAGAAAAGGCCTTGGTTGAGGATGGGGAAGGCCCAGACAGGGGCTCAAATCACCTAGCATTCTATCTCCAGAACCAACCCCAGATCCCTCCCTCTCTCCTTCTGAAAATGTTTTTGACTGCAATTGGGTTCTCTGAGGTACAAGGAGGTGTGCAGTTTCTTGTAGAACATGACTCAACTTTTGGGTCATCCCTAGTATTTATGGGGTTCTAAGCAAGAGTACAAATGGCAGCCCAGAAACCACATGCTTGAATGTTTTTAAAGGAAACACCAAGCTACAAACTATTAAGCAAAAATTGAAAATAAAATGGACCAGGAGGTCTGGCTATGGCCTATTTGTTTTTCACTGGTGCTATTCCTGGGAAAGACATCTTCATATCTGTAGTTTGTATGTTAGAGCATCTCTAACCAGAATGCAAATGAGAATTATGTTGGGTTACTTATAAAAAATACTGTTGCCTGGGCTCTAATCCAGAACAATTAATATTGTGGATGGAGTTTGCATAAAACATTTAAAAAATATTTTTTAAATAAATTTTTTTTAAAAGACAGAATCTTTAGAAATCAAGAAAAGAAAAAAGACTTAGATGATACTGATGTGTAGCTAGGAGTAATAAACTTTGATCCATAAAATAAGGTATTTATTTTCTTAGAATCCTTTTGGCTCGTCATATGTCAGAGTCTATGAAAATTTAATTTGACTGTTCCAAAGTTTGATTTGTACATATCCTGTTCCTCATTCCTAAATCTTTCTGTATTTCCAGGCCACCTTTGCACTGTAATAGCTTTTCAAGTCTTTTGGAAGAAACACTGTACCCTAAATGCTTTGGTCTTCTAGTCTCATAGTCTGTATGTACTTTTCATGCCAAAATTCCCTGCATCTACTTAACATCCAGTCACTCTTTAGCCAATCGGTATAGTTTTTCTCTGGCCAGGCTTCTTTTTGCTAAACTATAGTCAATAAAAGTAATTCACTTAACCATTCATTCCTTGAACGAGTGTTTATATTTCATCCCATTTATCTTCATCCATGTTCACCCTCAAGATACTGATGGTGGCTTCAAATGCTTGGTACACATATACGTACACTCCACACCTGTTATCCTAATAGCCTAGGGTGTTTGTCCACCCACTGTCATACACAGGAAAATGATTACTATTCTCAACCCAGAGAGGTAAGGGCAGTGCTTTGGTCAAAGAATAAGAGCAGAGAAGTATTAGTTCACTCCTCTCCCCGTCTTACCACTCCACTCTGAGATCCTTGCTTGGCTGTGCTTCAAGGGATGGGTCTTGGGCTTTCAACATAGGATATCTCTCTATTCACTTATATCTTTGATCTCTTTCATGAGTGTTTTGTAGCTATCTGCATATGGAATCCTATAACATTTTGTTAGGTTTATACCTAAGTATTTCGCTTATTTGTTCTATTATAAATAGTATTGTGTTTTTAATTTTAAATTCCATTTTTCTTTACTGGTACATGCGAAAACAATAGATTTTTGTATATTGCCCTTGTATCCTGCCACCTTGCTATTTACTCCTTTATTAGCTCCAGGAGGTATTTAAAATTTTTTTTTTTTTGTAGATTATTTGGGATTTTCTACATAGATGATTATTTCATCTACAAATAAGGACAGTTTTGTTTCTTCCTTTCCAATCTGTATACATTTTATTTCTTTTTCTTTTTGCACTATCCAGGACTTGCAGTATGACGGTTGATAGGAGTTGTAAAAAGGATAATTTTTTACCTTGTTCCTCATTGTAGGGGGAAAGTATCTATTCTTTTAGCATGGAGAATGATGTCAGCTGTAAGTTTATTTTGTAGCTATTATTTATCAAGTTGAGGAGGATCTCTTTATTAACATCTATATCTATCTATCTATCTATCTATCTATCTATCTATCTATCTATCTATCTATCTATCTGCCTGCCTGCCTGCCTACCTACCTACCTATCATCTATTTCATCTTTATGGAAGTATAATGACAAATAAAATTGTCAGGTATTTTGACGTCCTTGCGTAATGTGGGGTGCATGTGAGGCCATTGCGCGCGCCGGCGGGAGGGGTCGGATTGTTTGAACGAGACGAAGACAGAACCGAAGCCGGGCACGGGCAGTGGACGGGGTTCCGTCGAGAGCCGAAGATGGCAGTGAATGTACATTCACCATCGGTCACCAGCGATAACCTGAGTCGACATGACATGCTGGCCTGGATTAATGAGTCACTGCAGTTGAATCTGACGAAGATAGAGCAGTTGTGCTCAGGAGCTGCCTATTGTCAGTTTACAGACATGCTGTTCCCTGGCTCCATTGCCTTGAAGAAAGTGAAATTCCAAGCTAAACTAGAACATGAATACGTCCAGAACTTCAAAATACTGCAAGCAGGTTTTAAGAGAATGGGTGTTGACAAAATAATTCCTGTGGGCAAATTAGTAAAAGGAAAGTTTCAGGACAATTTTGAATTCTTTCAGTGGTTTAAGAAGTATTTTGATGCAAACTATGATGGAAAAGACTATGACCCTGTAGCTGCCAGACAAGGTCAAGAAACTGCAGTGGCTCCCTCCCGTGCTGGTCCAGCTCTGAACAAACTGAAGAAACCTCTCAGCTCCAGCAGTGCAGCTCCGCAGAGGCCCATGGCAACACACAGAACCACTGCAACCCCTAAGGCTGGCCCACGTGTGGTGCGCAAGAATCCTGGTGTGGGCGATGGGGATGGTGAAGCCGCGGAACCGATGCAGCAGGTTAACGTATTGAAACTTACCGTGGAAGACTTGGAGAAAGAAAGAGACTTCTACTTTGGAAAGCTAAGGAACATTGAATTGGTTTGCCAGGAGAATGAGGGGGAAAATAACTCTGTATTGCAGAGGATTGTGGGCATTCTCTATGCCACAGGTAAAGGCTTTGTGATTCCTGATGAAGGGGGACCACAGGAGGAACGAGAAGAGTATTAAAAGCCTGGACCAGCAGAGCAGCATCTGAATTCTTCACTCCAAATCATGTGCTTAACTGTAAAATACTCCCTTTTATTATTCTTAGAGGACTCATTGGTTTCTTTTTCATAACCAAAAAGTACCTCTTCTTAAAGTGCACTTTACAGAAGTTTCACTCCTTTTCCAATAAGTTTGAGTTAGGAGCTTTTACTTTGTAGCAGAGCAGTATTAACATCTAGTGGGTTCACCTGGGAAGCAGAGAGGCTGACCATGGACTCACCATATGGATGCTGGTAACACTGATTGCTGGAGAAGATGTTTTTATGAGATACGCTGATGTGTTTTTATGGGATATGCTGAGGTAAAGACCGATTTGAATTTTAAGCTAATGTGAAATCTTGGCAGAGAACATTTTAATAAATAAATAAATAAATAAATAAATAAATGCCTTAAGAGTATTAAAAAAAAATTGTCAGGTATTTAAGTGTAAATGCAAAAGGATTAACAATGTATTCATGATTTTATTTGGTGAGAACATTTAAATTCTAGATGGAAAATTTCAATTTTTCAGTGTTATCAACTATAGTTACCATGTTATACATTAGATCCTCAGACAGCATTCATTTTACAATTGGAAGTTTGTACCCTTTCACTGACTTCTCTATATATTCCACAATCCTCATTCCCGGGCAACCACTTTTTTGCTTTGTGTTTCTATGTGTTCTACTTTAAAAAAAATTATTTTATTCCCCATGTAAATGACATGATACAATATTTATATTTCTCCATCTGGCTTATTTCACTTAGCATAATGCCCTCAGGTTTCATTCATGTTGTTGCAAATGACAGGATTTCCTTTTTTTTTTTTTTTTAAAGACTGACTAATACTCCATTCCACGGATGGACACTTAGGTTGTTTCCATACCTCAGCTATAGTGAATAATGCTGCAGTAAACATGGAAGTACAGACATCTTTTTGAGATAGTGACTTCATTTCCTTTAGGTATATACCCAAAAGTGGGATTGCTGGGTCATATGGTAACTCTACTTTTAATTTCTTGAGGAACTTCCATACTGTTTTCCATAGAGGCTATACCAATTTACATTTCTACCAATGGTGCACAAGGATTCTCTGTCCTCTGTATCTTTACCAACACTTCTTATTCCTAGTCTTTTTGATAACAGACATCCTGATATGAGATGATATCTCATTGTAGTTTTGATTGGCATTTCCTTAATGATTACTGATATTGAGCACCTTTTCATGAATCTGTTAGGTATTTATATATTTCTTTGCAAAAATTTGTATTCAGTTGCTCTGCTTATTTTAAATTAAGTTATTTGTACTTTTGCTATTAAGTTATATGAATTCTTTACATACTTTGGATATTCACCACTTGTTGGATATGTGGTTTGCAAAAATATTCTCCCATTCCATAAATTGCCTTTCCATTTTGTTGATAGTTTTCTTTGCAGTGTAGAAGCTCTTTGGTACAATGTAGTTCTACCTTTTAATTTTTGCTTTTGTTGCCTTTTTTTTTGTTGTCAAATCCCCCCTAAAAATCATTGCTAAGACAAATGTCAAGAATCTACTCCCCTATAGTTTTTAAACATGATTTATGGTTTCAGATCTTACATTCAAGTCTTTAACTACTAAGTTGATTTTTTTTTTGTATATGGTGTAAGATAATGGTCCTGTTTGCTGAGAACTTTTTAAAAAAATTATAAATATGTTTTTAATTTTGCCAAATTTTTTTTTATATCAGTTGACATGATCATATGATTTTTCTTCTTTACTTTGTTTATATGGTGGATTACATTAATTGATTTTCCAATGTTAAGCTAGCCTTGCATACCTGGAATTAATAATGGTTTTTGTGTATAATTTTTATTATACATCATTGGTTTCTATTTGATAATATTTTGTTGAGGATTTTTCCATCTATGTTCATGAGATTCACTGGTTTGTAGTTTTCATTCTCTGTATTGATTGGACATTAAGATAATGCTGACCTTACCAGAATAAATTAGAAAGTTTTTTCTTTGCTTCTGTGGTTACAGGTACAGTCTCAAAGGATGTGGGAATTTTGGGGTGTTGTATGTAGCTGGTACCTCACATGGTCTATCGGCTCTGGCATCTGTTGGGCTGAGTGTGGTTGTTGCCACTGTTACCACTTTCAGCTTCTGGTCTGCCCAGATCTGACTATCACTTAGCTGAATCCTGGGGTTTTTGTTTCCCAGAACAGATATGGTTTTGTCCCTACACCTTTTGAGGGACTCCAAAGCTAGATGCCCTTGGCCCTCTCTGTCTAGATAGCTCACACAGCTATTTCTACTCTATGACTCAGTTTAAGAAAAACTATCCATAACTTCAATATAAGAAAAGAATGGCTGGGTGTTCTTTAAAGTGAATTTTGATGCATTATTGAACAAGCCCTCTTATAAACCATTAGATACTATGGGGCAACATTTCTCAACTTTTTATAAACCCACAGGAGAAAAATTAAATTACAGTCCAATTTATCTTTAATTTATTCATTTAATTAATCCAATTGTTAATTGGTTTGATTTACTCTTAATGAATGAAAGTAAATGGGAATATAATTTTTCAGGTAGGGTTGAGCTTTGGAGGGCCGCAATTGGAACATGTTATGCCCAGATTTTATTTATTTTCTCAAATTGCCTTTGAAAATCTGTTTGGCATGCCAAGTCCTAATACAACAAAGATGCAGTAAGGTTCTTGTCACTTACCACTTAAAACCTAACCAGTTGGCCAGCTCTTGACAACAGAGACATAATCTTACACCACAACTTCTCTCAGGTGGTAAAATCCTGTTGGTGTCTGAATGCCTAGCATTTTCCTTCCTGAGCTGCTTGAATCCCAGAAAAAGAGCCCTGGGCACTGTGAAGTGCGGCTTTCATGAATAATTTTGATAAAATGTTATTGTCAAATAAAATATTTAGTTCTGTGGGCTACATTACCAACTTTGCCTAGATGATAATGATGGCCCAGGGCCTGTATCCACTGCTGCCCTCAGTTTCTTAACCTTAAGAAACTGAGAGTAACTTCCCTCAGAAAGTTCCCCCAGGAAGTTCCATTGGAGCCTTTGTAGTGTTACAGTATAATTTTCAGAAAGTAAAAGACCTTGCTGTCATAGGAATACAAAATGAACTTGTGTCAAAGTTTTCTTCAACACACCAATGAAGAAGCCAACAAAATGGTAAAGCTGATTCAAGGAGGATTTGAGGAACTGAGTATTTATTTAGAAGCATTTAAAAAATGTTAGAGCAAATTCTAGGTTAGATAGAACAAAACTTGTCAATGTCCTTCAGGGCAAATTTTTTTGGTAAAAATTATCTTTGTACCAGACAAAAATCATTAGTGTTTCTCCTGGACAGAAATCCATAAGTTATAAAACTTCACAGAATGTAATTACTAGATAGCAAAGTCAAGTACATCTATGTGCTCCCAGATAACTGAGTCATCTTTGGTCAGACCTGTTAAGCCATGCCCCAGTATAACATTGAAAGGATTCGACCCCTCCTCTTGCCTTATCTCGAAGTTTTGGATAATGTGTCTTAATAGTGGCCCTTTGAAATACTGGTGACAATGCCTAAAACTTGTCTCTGAGCAATAAATGCTGCTAAATCAGTGCTTTTGGGTATGAATATATAATTATATAAATAAATATTTATATATTATATATAAAATATATACATATAAATCATAATCAGGTAAAACAGGCAGCATGTAGCAGGTGTGCCCTGGCTTGGGGAAGAGGAGGGAGCCAATGGGGAAATACAAGGAATTAATGGTATTTTGTGTCATTGAACTTCATGTTGTTATTACTGTTAACCAACTGAGATTGCCCAGGTCCCTGAAGACCTGACCTCTGGGAAAGACCCTCCATCTTTTCAAGGGTTCTTTCTCTGTTTGGTATGCCCAGCCAAAAACAAAACGAAAGCTAAGTGTTCAGCAGCACAAGCTGTACTCAGTGGCCAGAGGACGGAGAAGTGGGAGTCAAACTCACAGATCAAGTTCTCATTCCAGAGAAATCTGGGAGAGATATGGGCAATATTATGAGGGGGAGGCATATACCTTAGTTTTGGGGGAATGAGAAGGTCTCTTCCTGGAATTGGAACACCACCTCTTTCCTTCTCTCATGCTTCCAGTTGGATCCGTTGTGGCCTGTGTATCAATGAATATGCTAATATATTTTAATCAGAATTGTGGTATAATGAAGTTCAGGATCTCTTGCAGGGCAGATTCAGTATCATCTTGGGTCAGGTGGGATTTGGTCTGCTTTTAGCCTTCTTTCTGCTTTTGTGTTTTTCCTGTAACTGAAATGGAAAGATAAGTACACAAGATTTCACCAGGGCCTACAGCTGTGATGACATGACTTTGGATTGGGGAAAAAAAAGATTTTGGCTCAGCTTGGATGAAAAAAGAAAAGAATGAAGAAAACAGGTTGCTTAAATCCCATCCTAACCACTGATTAGATGTATGACTTGGGCAAGTCATGTAAGATTTTTCTATGTGGCAGCTGGTCTCCAAAGATGGGCCTCCAGTGAACTCTGCTCTACTTTAACACGCTAGTGTGATTCCCCTCCCAGCATCAGTGTGAAGAGGCCTGGCCTTGTGCCTCCCTTAATGGACAGAATGTGAGAGGTGACACTGCTCAACCTTGTAACCTCACAGAAACTACATTTCTTCAACATGACCCTTTCTCCTTTCTGTTCATATACTCTCTTCCTTAATCATTAACCTTAAGGACATCAGATTCTGGTCAACATCAAACTGCCTTAAGAACAAAGCCTCAGGTCTCTTGACCACACAAAGAGAGTTTAGGTCAAACTAAAGGTGGCATCTTGGCTTCAGTTGTGCTTCAGCCCCAGGCCCATGACAGCAGAAAGACCCTCTAAGCTATGCCCTCATGAAACCAGACAGAACACTGCCATAGCTGACATCAGGACCTGATGTAATGATCACCTATGCCCTACCCCGGCCCCGACCAATCAGCAGAGCCCATGACCACAACTCCTTTAGCTGCTGTGATTAATATTTTTCTCCTATATAACCCAACCTCCAGAAGCCATTGGAGAGCCAG